CAACACACACCTTGCTGCACAGTCTCACATGGAGTCTGCTCCACAGAAACCAGTCTCCTGGAAAACCCCATTGTTAACACTGAGATGCTAAAAATCTGACAAATTCTAAACTTTGTTTTCCTCTTACAAGCTTAAACTCTGCCACTACCTATGTGTGAACAAATTCCTTTATCTCCCCAGCTTCATGGTGACTGCTAGTCTAAGGCCTGTTTTTCTCCTTGCAGCTCATGGAGCCATTCCAGGACCCCCTGGGCAAAAGGGAGAAGTGGGCAACTCAGGACCCAGAGGTAAGTGGGGACAGGAAATGGCCACCAGGATCCTGTGTAACAACCTCATGCTGTAAAGCAGCTCCCTTGCCAACGCTATGCTGGGCTCTGCCGCTCCTCCAGGCCCCACACTACTGCTTTACTTAGCATCTCTCTCTCCTCCTAGGCGAGAGGGGCCCTGCTGGGCCACCTGGTCGGCCTGGGCCACCTGGTCCTCGAGGGCCCAAGGGAGAAAAAGGAGACAAAGGTAAGCCTCCACTGCCACAGAGATTTGTTCCACAGCATGCCTGGAAAATTAAGGCAAATGTGAATTACTAAAGGCAGACCCTACCAACAATGTAATCTGCACAACAATCAGCCAGCAGGGGAGAAAGGAAAGAGAGTGCCAATGCAGACAGGAAAAGGAGAACCAATCTGGTAATGAAAGTGGGTAAACAATCTAAATAAATTGATAGTCTTACGAAAGAGTTTATCTTCCAAGCCAGTTTTGCAAGTAGTCACAGTTGCCATAATTGCCCAAGTTAAAGCCCCCACAGGCCACAAGATATTTTTTAACTTCCTACTCATCTTCTAACTTTCATCTTCTAACTTTCAGGTGACCAAGTCTATGTTGGGCGGAGAAGGAGAAGCATCGCCACCAAGCCATGAGCTACCTTTGGTGGAACAGCCCCCAGACCAGTTCTTGCAATGGCTTATGGTGCTTAGATCAAAATCTCTCCAAAGGATGAAAGCTGGAGTCTCAATGCCTACTGATACAGCACAGCCAAACAGTCAACTACACACTTATTTTAGTCTGAAACAATATATACATATATAAATAATTCAAAGACACACCATCTGCAACAGCTTCATTGGGTAGACTTGAGCAGCTGCAGTGCTGTGGCAGCAGACACACTGCTCTACTATCTAGGTGTGAGCTCCTTGGCCTCATTAACACGAGTTCAAGCCCTAACCTAGGAAGCCAGTTTCACACAAGTTGGCTCAGGAGTCCTTGCGCTCTGCCTGTAAACGAACCCAGAAAATGGGAGAGGGGGATGGTAGGGGGCCCCTTCCTGTGGGCCGCACTCAGTGGGGGTGCATTCTGATTAATGCTATAAAGCTGTGCTGTCAGGTCCTTCCTCCCCTATTCACTCCGCATTCTCTAGTCACAGAGAACAGTTGGCTAAGGAGCCACTCTTGCAACTGAAAAAGTTAAGAAATTCACTTCTCCTGAAGGTGGCTACGGGGTTTCTAATAGTTATTTCTCGCTACAGATAGTCCCACTTGCTTAGAAAGTTTGATGGTAGCTATAATCTATATCCATAGGTCCGTGCTAGAGTTTATAGATTCGTTGTACTGAACTGGGCTGCAGGAAATAGAAAAAGGGCAAGGGGCAAGAAGAGAAAGAGGGAGGGAAAATAGACTATCTACTGCTAGGGCAGGATGTCACCTGTTCTGCACTTAGCAAATGGCATTGGGTACTGGGTGCAGTTGGTTTTAAGCACTTTTCAATGTCTAAAAATGTTAATGTGGTCTATTAGATGAAAAGTCATTTCAAAAGTAAAATTTCCAATTAAAGGATTTTTTTTCCTTTTTTAATAATGTGATCCATCTAACCAAAGTTAAGAAAAAAAAAAATTGGGTTTGGGTTTGACTCTAACACTATTTCAAACGCAATATTCTGGGACACAGTTTCTGATATTTAATCATTGAGATCATTAAAGGCAGACCTTCATCTGGAATTAATAACTCAATTTGGGCAATTAGAAAGCATTTGAAGAGTTTCTCTATGCATAAATTACTTGAAATAAACACATGCAACAGATGAGCAACAAGATTACTTTCAGCTAATGTAGTGATTTATCCTGGGGCAAAGGAATTATAATGGCAGAGCAAGTAATATGGAATATCAAAACACCTATTAAGGAAAAATACACAAACATCAAATGCTCCACAGAAATGCATAGTAAACTCAGACATGCAAATTCAGAAGAGGCTATCATTGGCCCACTTTTGAATTTGTTGCAAACTGTGATGCTCAATTACTGGATAATTTAAAGTGGGGTTAAATGAAATCTACTTCTACACCTCTATTCTTCTAAAACACTGAACCATTTATTTTTTATGTGGCCTCTACTGAGTATCTCCTATATTATCCTGGGGGAAAACATGACACTTAATTCCACTATATCAAACAACTGCTAGCAGCAACCACTATTCAAGCACCAAACATTCTATATGGACTTGTTTGCCTCCTTTTTCATATCCTGATAGTAACCTGATGTGAATCAATATAGGAATTCTAAAATAATGAGTTCATAAGGCCTTCAGAATTTCAAACTTTTTACTTCCTAATGAAAACTTATTGTGTATAATAAATGACTACATTGTACCTTTTTAATATTTTAGTTTTACCTAAAAAGTCTTACCTAAAGTCTTAGTCCATTTAGTTTTGTAATAGCAGTTTTAAGGGTATTATATCCCCTTTAATGATTCTTATCTTGATTACTCAGACATATGAGTTTTTCCCCTACTTAATAGATTTACCTTTCTAAGATATCCAAGGTCTTCACAGAATCCTAAGACCATGTGAATTAGGTGAAAGTCTAAACGTGCTTACCTTCTCTGGACAGGACCCAGAAAAAAACAGGCAGATATGTCCTCAGCTGGATGCCTACGACTCGAGCCTTTTTGTTTCTATTTAAAAACACACACAAAAGTTAAGAATGAGCTCAATAGTGTACGATACTCCTGGATTAGAAAATGACATGCTTTGCCTCCCTCCAGCCAAGCTGAAAACATACCAAATGATGCTGTCTAGTGTCTACTGAATCAATCTTGCATGAACATATCAATGACAAAAGAGGTTATTTTTAGCAAAAGTGAGGTCATATGGCTTGTGAAATATTTGGTGAGAAAAAGAATACATCCCAAGGGGGAAAAGGGAAATAAAAAATATGTATATATACATATGTTGATGGAAATATTGTAAGCACCTCTAATAAGTCTGAAAGGCCAGAAGACCTAGAGGACTGCAAGTGTTAAAAATGTAGGCCCAAAAGAAGCTGCATACTGTTCTCACGTATGACAATCCTGTTGCAATGGTTCTCAATAAAAGACTGCTTTCTCAACATAGATTAAGAAACAACTTTATTTTTCATTTGTCAACCCCATGATTGAAAAGACACATTGCTCCCAAGTAGACAAGAGGAATAATCTGGAACAAAATTTTGAAAATTTAGTTTGTGAAGTTATTACACTGCAAATCAAAGGATCACAAAAAGCTGCAGCCAACATTTAAAACTGGTATAACATTCTACCCGAAGCTTAGTAGCAGAAAGTGTAAAGCTATATCAAAACCATGTCAGCCACAGAAAACAACAGAGGCATTAACTGTTGTGCCTTAAACTTGAGCATTTAAAATATCCTATTTCCCATAAAAGAACATTTCCCAGAAAAGAATTGATTTATTTAATCAGAAGACTATTAGCACTAGAACTAACTCTCCCCTTTCACCTCAGTTCTAGGTTTCCTTTAATACTATCTCTAGCTAATCATTTGACAGAATTTGGCTTCTCAGAAGAGACTGTCATTTAAGCACAGTGTGGAATGGGAAAAGTGTGTAGTTACAAGGGAACTTAGAGGAGTACAAAAGACAGTTGCTTCTGAAACTCGCTGATGCTTGAGAAATCAGAGACCCTCCATTAAAGTGGGTCTCATATGCCTGAGAGCTTTGTGCTTGAGGAAACACTACTTAGAGGTAGCTCTGGTTCTGGTTTATATTTAATTACAATTTGCTGTATCCTGTTAGAGGAAAGTTCTAATATTTTCAGCAAAGTATAAGCACTCAATTTCCTCCTGACCCACCCTATAGCTTCCCCATAGAAAAGGGTAAGAAAAAGCTTAATTGTGACTCCACATAATATAGCAGCTAATTCAGCAATTCACTCAACTATGGATTGACAGGACTAGGAAAGGCAACCTGGTGCAACGAGCTCTAAGAGCTAGACCTGCAGAAGTGTGACAGTCTGGTGTGTCTACAGCACACAGGGAGAAGAGGGAAGGGTGAGCAATTAGGGTACACATATGAACAATTTCTTTTATGCATATCACAGCACATTCTGCCACAGCAACAACAACCAAATCAGGAATGGATTTGACTGTATTCTTTGATTTCAAAGAAGTCTGTGCCCCTCCCCCACTGCCCATCTACACTACATGCAAGAAAGAAAGATCACTATTATTTATTTGAATACAGGGCTTAAGAAGAAATGGGCACGGATGGGTAAAAAACAGCATATTCTGTAACAAAACACTTTTTGAAAAGATTTATGTAACTTTAAGTATTAAGATGAATGTTTCACCTCTATATATGTATCACCCTGTAGTCCTGCAGACACATGAATATGGTCATATTTGAAAGAAGACTCAAGCATAAATACTGAATCCAAAGGGCAGTTTTAAGGGAGATACCAACAGTTGCAAATAAACTTACCAGAGTGTCAACCGTTCTACTCTGAACCTCTTTCCTTTACTCAATACTCTGAATGTCAAGTTGAAATAAAAAGAATCAAATATTCAGACCAAAATGAATTATGTGCCACAAACTATTTAGCATACAGAATATAATTTAAATGATACTGAAAAAATGTCCACTGAAAATTTCAAAGGAAAGCATTCCTCCTCTTT